CATCTTGAGTTTATAGAACTTTTTATTAAACAAGTAGTTTTTAAGGAAAGAACACAACCGACTTCAATTCTCATATACAAATTTACGAGTACCGTTAATTTCTGCATGATCCAATCATCGGATCTAAACCAAATTACCAGACGACCCTTGACGTGTCATCTTTCCAATAAAAAAAGAATTATTGAAATCGGTTCACGTGGTCCCAGGTTATGTATTCCGACGAATTGTTAACCTCCCCTTTTTTTTGAAGTCGGTTAAAAATGTTTGAGTTCTGGTAATCTTATGTAAATAGAGTGCAGTTTATGAATTTTAAACCGGTTATTTATTTATTACATACTGTACATAAAACTTGCATAAATGTATTTCAAAGAGCGTATTATCTGAAGAGAATTTTCAGTATATTCCGGTGATATATCTTCATAAATATAAAACCTCCCCTAAAATATATTCCTGGGTGCGCCCCTGGTCTAGTATATATACCTATGACATCTTGTAGTTTCTTAAATAGCTTTTTTCAGTTCAAAAATAAATTAACTTTATTACACTTGCGGTAATCTCCTTCGATCCACCCACAAATGCGTAAGACGCACATTAACAAACAAATTCGCTGCTGAGATTTATTTCCACCACAAAAACATGGAGTAAAATCCAAGGCAACAAAACAAAACAAAACAAAATGGTAGAACAGAATAACGTGGCACAAAACAAGTTAAGCAGGAAAAACTGTGGCAGCAACCAAATCGAAAAACTTTAGCAGCCAATAATTCTGAAGACGTTCGCTCCTTGCACAAAGCCACGCACATACATACATACATACATACACGCCGCATACCGCTTGACGCGCAGTTACGGTCTGTTGCGTGCAGCTTTTTTTTCGCTGCTCGCTACAAATTTGCAAGAGTACTTAAGTCAGAGAGCGCGCAACGTAAAATCGCCTGCCTGCCAGGAGTGGAAAATTGTAGGGGAAGAGGGGGCAAGTGGGGAGCGTTAGGTCACCTACAAACAACCTCTGATGCGATGTTCTGCGCAAATGGCTAAAGTTTGTGCCATTATTTCGTTGCGCTGGTTTTGCAATTTTCATTATCGCCACTGTACCTAGCCTAGAATGAAGGTGAATGCAAAGCGGCTGACAGCAGCAGCAGCAGCAGGAGCAGCAGCAGCAGCGAGTGTTAGGGGGAATGGAGCGGCGTATGGTTGAATTCGCGCTTTCATTCGTTTTTATGCGCCTCGTTTTGTCTTCCACACCTCACTTTTTGCTGTGATTCTTTCTGGGTGTCTTCTTTTACTGTCAATGGTTCTGATTTGAATTGTACGCAATAAAAACAAAAAGAAAAAAATACCTTAACCACTGCGCGCATTATCTTCTTGCTGAATTGCCAACATGCTGAGTTCAACTTTTGCCATGTTTATGATTATCGATTTTAAAGTTTCTTTTTCGACTATGAAAGCGATATTAAATATGCTGTTATATTCATGTCTGTGTGTTTTTTGTGACTTCAGCGAAATTGCTTGTTTAACTTTCGCATTCCTTTCGCTCTCTTAAACTGGCGTAAGTTTATTTTATTGAGTCTGCTTGACATACATTTTTTTATCGCATGTGACACAGAAACCTTAATTTAAGTCCGAGTACTAAAATATTAAATTGAGCAGAGTGTTTATGTATTGAGCATGTGTGTAAAGTGTGTAATTGCTCACATGAAGACTCACATAAGTACGTATAGCTTTTGCCCACTGCCTTAAGGTCAGTTTATCGTTATGATTTAAAATGTACTTGTAACAAAAAAATATTGGGAAAATTTCGCTGAACTTCTAATTTAAAGTAGAATTTAACTAAAGTGGGATTTGATTTTTAAACAACTTCAAAAAATATGCTATACCTACATACATATGTTATTTTAAGTCATAGGCTATCTGTACGCCAAATTTTATACAGATAAAGACTCACTAAGTCACTAACTTACTCACAATATTTGCAGGGTTTCATTTACCTTATCAATTAAATTCCTAAACTGGTCAACTTATCAATTAAGTTCCTAAACTGGTGGCCACCCGCTTCAAAATTATTTTCCAAATAGATAAAACTGTTTGAAAACCTCTCTCGTTTAACATCTACATTAAAATATTTTATATATGTATGTAACTTGTTAATTAACTTGATTTTGAGTTTCGAAACAGGTGGCAGCTCGCTTTAATAATATTTTTGAAATAAAGAATACGATTCTTCTTCTCTCGTTTGATAATTATTTTAAAATTTTCCATTTAACTTGTTAATTAAAATAATTTAACTTTTTTAGCAAGTGGCAACTCCCTTAAAAAATATTTTTGAAATAACTAGTTTTTGAACCCCTTTCGCTTGGCGCCCACTTTGTTGTCATACCTTATTTAACGTATTAAATTATTGATTTTAACTTTTTTAACAGGTGGCAACTCTCTTAAAAAATATTTTCGAGGCAAATCGATTTGGGCTCCCATTCGTTTGTTTAGCTTATTAATTAATTAATTTTAACTTATTACAAAAATTAAACTCTTTAAAATATCTTTTATCTTAATTCAGGTTATAACCTATCTGTGTACACTTTTAGCATGAAAACTATAAAAAACAATAAACAAAATGCTCATCCATCCATTATAAAAAATATTTTTTTTGCTCTATGTATTAGGCACAAAATTTAAATTTCAATGAAAAATTAAGGTAAAACTTGTTTGCTGATGTGTCTAATATAATGGACCAATCCAGTGAAAGGGTTAAAACGATTAGCTAAGAGGGGAAATAGTGTTGAGTCTTATTCAATAAATCTTTCCCTCTCCAATATGTATAACATTTCATACAAGGCTGTATATATAAAATGTATAGGCAAACTGCCGACAGGCTAATTTTTAAATCCCTTTAACACCGGAACCTATCCTTGATCAGAAGAACATTTTAAGTAATCCTTTTCAACGAAAGTACCGGTAACCCTTATAAGTCTGATTGATATCCGGAACAATCTTTGGCGCATCAGCAATGTTTACTCTAGTCAAGAATTATATATGCATATTAATTTTTTTTTGTTTTTGTTTTAATAAGTCATATGCCTGATATAGTATGCGTGTAAAGCTCAATTTCCAAACATTTCGCATTTTATTTTCCTCCACTCTAAATGTCTATTATTTAATAGCTAAAATTTTTGCTTTTCCAACTCGTACTGCAAATTACATTTGTTCATAAATCGCTAAAACTACTGGCTTATTGAAATAGAAAGCTCTCAATTTTTCTATATACACTCTTGCATATCAGTCGTCAACCACAGCGTTCAACTTTTCTGTTGTCCATTAAATTTTACGTGCTACATAAATATTTTTTTATGTTATTTACGCAGGCTACGAACACTAGTTAGCGAAACACTCCTATTGCTAGCGTTTATTTTTGCTGTTTTTTTTTTGTTTTGCAGTCTATTTTTTACACACTATGCGCCAGCGAAAATTTATGTGCATTCCAATTTTTGCGAGAATTTGTGAAAATTGACATTGTCTCTCCCCAGGGTTGCACTTAACCTTACTTTCTATATAGAATATACAAGTGAATGTATGTAGTACATTTCAAAATATTTATGTGTACAGTTGTATATAGTACTATAGTGAGTAGAGTGTTGGTTGAATGCACAATTTTTCAATTTTTTTTTTGTTTTTGCTTCGCGCTTGACCGCAACCGCAATAGCAACAACGGCAACTTGGGCGCAGCAGCTGAAGTGCCCTTTGGCGCATTGAGGTGGAATGACGCCATTGCGCCGCGTAGTTGTTTGGTGGACATGCTGGTGCGAAACAGCTGCGGAGGCGTCTAGGCGCGAAAGCCTTGTTTGAACCTGGAGTATCTATGTAAATATAAATAAATAATATAACAGCTCTTTAGAATGAATCTTAAAATTCAAAAATAGTTGAAATCAAGCGCTGGCGCCTTTGACCCAGTCTGCGGGCGTGTGACTTTGAAAGTTCAACGGAATTTGTTTTTATTTTTTTCAGCCAGCTACTGATTGCTGTTGCTTTGGCTTGGTAGTTGCAGCATTAACAGACGCAGTGCTTGCATTAAAAGTTTAAATTTGGTTAGTGAGTAGTAAAAATTTGCTGCATGCAAATTTTATGCCAACGATGACTTTCTAGTAGCCCAACGATATCGAAGAAGCCATTCAAGTATAACTATTTATCGATATATTTATCAGTATCACTATTCAAATGTTAATCGAAATCACTTTGGATGCATTTATCGATCACAGTAATATTACTAATTATATCGGTTTTTATTTTGTTGTTATCGTTACTAATACATTACCCGATATTGTTATCGATATCCTTGAAAATTTGTTATCGATATCGAACTTCTTTTAGTCTTTAGAGAAAACAATGGTTTAGATTTCGGAAAATTCAAGTTCTTGGTTGACTTCATATCTCTAGAATAGCATTTAATTTGTTGTAATCGAAGATATATTAAAAATCATATAATTTTTTAAGCACTTCTGCACTTATTTAGTTTATTCATTTTACAGTTATTTGTTGGAAATCGAACAGTTGTCATCATATAACTACTAGGTACCACTTGGTATATACCCATAAGTCTGGCCTTTAATTTGGTAAAAAGCACCGAGCTATAAAATAATAATTTTTTTAATGCGACGAAAAATTTCTTTTCATCTCTAGTTGTTTTCAATACAAAATGTAAAGTGTAAAGTTTTATGTAATTTTCAAACATAAGCGCAAGAAAGCGTACAAATGTTCAAGAAACCTTTACCCTCTCGACGAATCTGAGTACATAAGTGTTTAAATTCATAGTCCCTCCAAGGACTTTGAAACACGAGGTTATATAATTCAGAATTGCTCCTAAAAGGACATACAATTCCCTGGAACATTTTTTCGCATTCATATACCTAATTTTATATTGAAGTTAGAATAGAATAGAAAATCTAGCGAGAGGAAAAACTTTACTTCGACTTTAACGACCGTAGCTTTTACAGGTGCAAGATGCAAAAATTGGGCATTCTAGTAAGTCCTAGAGTTGAGGGGCCTTCTAACTAGATATTCCTAAGAAATTATATTTGGTCCTAGTACCGATTTGAAGACTTGCATTTTTAGTATTTCATCCCGCTAGATTTTCGATTCAGATCCACTGTTTTTTGACATACGCGAGGACACATGGCGTATGAGTAACAAAATTTTCCTCTAATATTTCATCAAAGAGACTTACGTGGTTTAAAAGGCATTTATGTACATACATGTAAATCCACCATGCAATGACGGTATCATTTAACAAGTATGTTAAGCGCGCTCTTTAGGACATTCGAAATTATTTCTTCGATTCTGCCCTGTGGTTAGGGTTTCGCAGCAAGGACTTTTTCCTGTCCTTGATTTGTTTTTAAGATACCTGCAACTCAGCGATTCTCCGCTGGTATGTGCACTTTTAGTTGTTTTTATATTTTTTACAATAAATTTTTTGAATGATGGAAAGAGGCCTGAATTTTTTTTTTTATCAAAAAATAAAGTAGAAATGGTTTTTTTTTTTTAGTGGTCATTCATAGTATTTAGCTGAAAAGTATAAAGAAAACGTCCTTACAGCTTCAATTGCTGCTATGTATGTACATAGATATATTTATTCTTATTAGCAGAAATAACGCCAGCGAAAACTCGTTTACTATTTCACCTTGTCAATGCATCTGCCTACATGCAAAAAGTCGAAAGTCTAACCATATTTTTTGTAAATGCCGTTAACGCTGCAAAACACCGTGCATGCCCTCTTTCACTGCCCATACGCTCATGCTTACGCTACTCGTATTACCCATTAATTTCAAGCAATAAAGAAATAAACTGCAAACTTTAACAGCGATTATAATGCAATTGTTACAAAGTTTCACTTTTCAATTGTTTTCTGTTGCATTGTCGTTTTAGTTTTTTATTCTATTTTGGCTACTTCTCCATTTGGTATCAGCATGCAGTTAAGTTTATTATCAACTTAAGAACATAGTAATTTGATTTTCAGTTGGCGCTGGTTGCCTAGAAGTCAACTGTTTTAGCATAGTAATGTGTGCGCCTCATAAATTTCACATATTTGTGGTCATAAGCAATAACCGCCTAAGTCGAAAATCCTGAATTGGAGAAAAAACGTTTTAAACATTTGGATTGTAATGTCAACCTTAGCTGGCGAGATGGGGATTTCACATAAACATGGAATAGTAGTTGCAGAATACGATAGCATATATAACTCAATTCTTAAATACATGTGTAGGTATGTATGTACATATGTACGAATATGTCAAAAAATATGATTTATGTACAACAACTACAAGTACTCGTCTCAAAGTATTTTAAGTTAATAAAGCTTATGGTTGGCATAACGCCGCAAGCGAGAAACTTATACCCCGACGAAACATATGTACTTATTATTCAAATATTAAATACTTGTACGGAAGTTGCGATATACAGCGACAATGTTTACAAATATACATATTACATACCTACATATGTATGTGGTAAATGACCAACAACACCCACTGTGACAGTTTTGTAGTACTTACCTTAGGCACATTTAGTACTTACATATATAGTATTTATGTATTTACTACATGTAATTAAGCACTTTAGGTTAGCCAAGTTTTAATGTTTACTAGCCATGTTTATTTAATCGTAATCCACTTTTTGTGACCATAAAAATTATGCAATTTTAATGTCAGTACACTGGGCTAGTTGTCAAATGAACTTGGTGAAATAAATTTAGGAAATTGTTGAGTGAGTCAAAAGCTGTTAACTGCACTTTTTTTGTATCATTACTATAACCAGTTCGGGTCCATTACCATTATCATTACCATTACCATTTATATTACCAATAGCAATACCAAAACCATTACCACGATCATTATCACTACGACTATTGCTATTACAATTACTTTTACCATTGCAATTGCCATTACTATAACTCTTGCTAATAACAATACCAATATCATTACCATTATTAATGTCAATCACCATCAACATTACCATAGCGATTACCATTGCTATTACCACATCATTACTATTACCAATACCATTTCCATTACCAGTACCTTTACTATTACCATTACCACTAGCCTCACCACCACGATTACCATTTCCATTGCTATTACCAATACCATTACCGCTACTATTGCTATTACCATTATTATAATTTTTGCATTACCAAAACCATTACCGTTATTAGTATCATCGCCATTACGACTACCATTACCCTCACCACCATCACCCTTGACATTATCATTACCATTACCTTCACTACCACTTCCATTGTTATAAACATTATCATTGCCATTACTATCACAACTGTCATTACCTCTATCATTATTATTACCATTATCATTACCATTACAATTACTATTATTTAACACGAAAGAAAAGAGAAGGCCTCCTCTGCAATAAAAAAGACCAGACGGAGACGGATTTTG